AAGACCAGGCCAGACTGGAACTCAGAGCCTTTGGAATGGAAGCAACAAGGAACTCGATGCAAAAGGAGAATCAGAAGGCAGTTTTTGTCCTGGGCTGTTTTTTTTTTAAAAAAGCAAGGAGAAGCACTCAGCACACCCACCACAGATGCAAGATTCCTCATCTCCTCGGTCGATCAATAGGTACCGGGGGCTTTCCGGGGCCCAGGGCAGCAAGACCAGCTGGATCAGAGCAGGCACTGCGTTGCTGGCCAGGAGGAGAGGCCAGCTTTCCTCCGCTCCTAAAATTTCTCTGCATTAAAATACAGAATTGTGTGAGCAGAACCTTTCTGAGCCAGCAGTTTGGGCCTCGCCGAGCCGAATGTACATATTTACTTTTTCTTTTTACGTCTGTTTGTCACTTTTCGCACACAGAACAGTGGCCCCAAAGCAACTTAACATATTAAAACCCCATTTAAAGAAATAATAAAATGCAAGAGCTGCAGCTCAGAGGAAGAAGGCCCCGATTTCAATCCCGAATGGCATGTCCAGGTAGGGTTTGAGAGAGACTCTCTGCCTGAAACCCTGGAAAGCTGCTACCAGTCCGTGTAGACAATGCTAGATGGAGCAAGGGTCAGACTCAGCAGAAAGCAGCCCCGCATAATCCTAATACTAGCCCCACCCCAGCTTCTTTCTCTGTGCCCCAGGAAGGGCTTAATGTAGCTGCTCAGCATCTAATTGCCATTCTGGGCAAAGATGCTACAGATCATTATGAGACCAAGTCGCCGGGATTGCTGTGCTTGGAGTACCCTTTGCTGCAAGAGATGCAGAGGTTTGCTGTGGCCTTGCTGATTTCTTTCTTCTTCTTTTTTCGGGGGGTGGAAAGAGGATGGTACCCCCCAACAGCTTCCCCAGGATGCCCCTTTCAGCCTTACCTCAATCCAACCACCTGTCCCATCACCAACCCCAGGGCCGTGAAGGATGCAGACGTCAGGGCCACGGCTCCACGGAGTTCCTTGGGGGCGCTTTCTCCCAGGTACATGGGCTGGATGTTCATGCTCACGCCTGGCCAGGAGGAGAGACAAACAAGGATCAGGAATGTGGCAGTGCTCCAATCTATAGTGGTTCGTCCTCCCCCCCCCCCCACGCACACACAGAGAGAGACTCCAGGCCGGCTGGGACTGGTCAGATGACATTTATTTATACCCCAGCCTGCAGAAACAACAGTAACTTTCCCCAAGTTCTAACCTTTGCCCAAACTCGTTTGTCATCTCCTCCTCCTCCCCACCAGCCTCGCATCTCGTCCTAATGTTTCCCCTCTCGTGCCCCCAAACTTTCAACTTTGTTTATTGCTCTAGGAATGTTCAAAGGTGAGGGAGGCACTTGCCTCCCAGCCCCCGCTTGCTTTCCTTAGGTAAAGGTAAAGGGACCCCTGACCCCTCGACCAGTCGTGGCTGACTCTGGAGTTGCGGCGCTCATCTCGCTTTATTGGCTGAGGGAGCCGGCATACAGCTTCCGGGTCATGTGGCCAGCATGACTAAGTTGCTTCTGGAGAACCAGAGCAGTGCACGGAAACGCCGTTTACCTTCCCACTGGAGTGGTACCTATTTATCTACTTGCACTTTGACATGCTTTCGAACTGCTAGGTTGGCAGGAGCAGGGACCAAGCAACGGGAGCTCACCCTGTTGTGGGGATTCGAACCGCCGACCTTCTGATTGGCAAGTCCTAGGCTCTGTGGTTTAAAAGAGTTTGGATTTGATATCCCGCTTTATCACTACCCGAAGGAGTCTCAAAGCGGCTCACATTCTCCTTTCCCTTCCTCCCCCACAACAAACACTCTGTGAGGTGAGTGGGGCTGAGAGACTTCAGAGAAGTGTGACTAGCCCAAGGTCACCCAGCAGCTGCATGTGGAGCATGTGGAGGAGCGGACGCGAACCCGGTTCCCCAGATTACGAGACTACTGCTCTTAACCCCTTGCTTTCCTTACATTCAGTCAATTATCATGCCCCTTCTGTCGTCTCTTCTCCAGGCTAAACATAACCAACTCCTTCAACCGTTCCTCATAAGGCCTGGTTTCCAGACCCTTGATCATCTTGGTCACCCCTTGGCTACACACCTTCCCACTTGTCAATACCCTTCTTAAATGGTGGTGCCCAGCAGTGGCGTAGCGTGGGGGTGCAGGGGGGGCCGGCCGCACCGGGCGCAACATCTGGGGGGGGGGCGCTCGCACTCGCAGCTCTCTGTCCCTACCTGGCTCACTCACTCTCTCTCACTGCAGTGCTGGCTGTGCGAATCTGATCCGAGCCGCTGGGTCGCCGCCCACTGTGGAGGGGGTGGGTGCCAGGCGTGCGGTGCGGAGAGAGAGCGAGGGACTATCTGGGGGAGGGACAGTGCAGCGGCCGCCCAGCGCAGCGCTGAGCGCGGGAGAGAACCACACCAGACCAGACCAGGCAGCAGCAAGAAGAAGCTGGCAGCGGCGGCAGGTTAGGGTTAGGGGCACAAATTACTTGCCTTGCCCCGGGTTAGGGGGCGCAAATTACTTGCCTTGCCCCGGGTGCTGACAACCCACGCTACGCCGCTGGTGCCCAGAACTGGACACGGTACTCCAGGTGTGGTCTGACCATGGCAGAATAGAGCAGTGTTTTTCAACCTTTTTTGGGCAAAGGCACACTTGTTTCATGAAAAAAAATCACGAGGCACACGACCATTAGAAAATGTTAAAAAATTTAACTCTGTGCCTATATTGACTATATATAAAGTAATTCTCTTGAATAGGAATCAAATAAACACAAAGAAAGTATTTTATAATTACTTTATTATGAAATAGTAAGTAAACAGAAATGTGAAAAATTATAAAATACTTTATTTTTAAATCTTTCGAATTTTTCAATTTTTCCCATGGCACACCAGGCAACATCTCGCGGCACACTAGTGTGCCGCGGAACAGTGGTTGAAAAACACTGGAATAGAGCACGACTATTACTTCCCTTGATCTGGACACTATACTTCTGTTGATGCAGCCTAGAATAGCATTTCCTTTTTTTCCTGCTGCTTCACACTTTTGACTCACGTTAAGCTGGTGGTCTACTAAGACCCTTAAATCGTGCACAGCTGTGAAGCCAGTTGTCCCCCATCCTATATTCGTGCCTCTGATGATTCCTTCCTAAGTGTAGAATTTTATATTGGTCCCTATTTAAATTAATTTTGTTAGTTTTGGCCCAGTTCCCCAATCTTTTTTCAGGGAATATCGAATCCCAATTCTGACTTCTGCAGCATTAGCTACCCCTCCCAGTTTGGTGCCGTCTGCAAATTTGATAAGCACCCCCTCCATTCCTTAATCCAAGTCATTTATTAAGATGTTGAAAAATGCCAGGCCTAGGACAGAACCCTGAAGCACCCCAGTTGGCCCTGTTTCTCGGGGTGACAAAGAACTGGCAGAGAAAGATCTGCTGACATGGATTCCTTGACTGAAGACTTAAGGGCTGCCTGGTTATTCTTCAGTTGGTTAGACGCTTATCAGATTCGCACACACTCCCCATTTTCAGTGGTGTGGCCTGCAGGGAACCTTGAACTCGCCCACTCTTCCTTACCTACCAGAATTGATTCCTGCAAGAAATCTGCTCAGCAAGATCATTTCAAAGGATCTGGCCATTTGGCTGAATCCCACCAACACCGCAGCCAAGACCACAAACAAGTTGTTCAGCAGCAAAGATTTCTTCCTTCGGAGAAAGAAAAAGGGATAAAAGGTGAAATATACTCGGAGTCGAGAGTGGATTCCATGCTCTTTATTCAGCTCATAGTGGTGAGGAGGAATGGAAGTTCCCCCAGAATGTCTGCCTTTTATACATTATTTACACAATGGGCCCCACGGGATTGGCTAATTCCGGGATTCTGCTGTAGGCCAATCAGGTTGCGGATTCCCTTCCACCTGGAACTGGATTGGGTGGCTCCTGTGGACCAATCAGACTGATGCATTCTGAATCCTATTGTTCTAGGACTAATCAGACTGCTGCATTCTGGATCCTATTGTTCTAGGACCAATCAGATTGCTGCATTCTGAATCCTATTGTTCTAGGACCAATCAGACTGCTGCATTCTGAATCCTATTGTTCTAGGACCAATCAGACTGCTGCATTCTGAATCCTATTGTTCTAGGACTAATCAGACTGCTGCATTCTGGATCCTATTGTTCTAGGACCAATCAGACTGCTGCATTCTGGATCCTATTGTTCTAGGACCAATCTGACTGCTGCATTCTGAATCCTATTGTTCTAGGACCAATCAGACTGCTGCATTCTGGATCCTATTGTTCTAGGACCAATCAGACTGCTGCATTTTGGGTCCTATTGTTCTAGGACCAATCAGACTGCTGCATTCTGAATCCTATTGTTCTAGGACCAATCAGACTGCTGCATTCTGAATCCTATTGTTCTAGGACTAATCAGTCTGCTGCATTCTGAATCCTATTGTTCTAGGACCAATCAGACTGCTGCATTCTGAATCCTATTGTTCTAGGACTAATCAGACTGCTGCATTTTGGATCCTATTGTTCTAGGACCAATCAGACTGCTGCATTCTGAATCCTATTGTTCTAGGACCAATCAGACCGATGCATTCTGGATCCTATTCAACTCAGGACATAACAAAAGGAATCAGGAGCCCAGTTCAGACATAATGAGGATGCACATCACACCCCTGTGCTTCTCCCCTCATGCGTTGGTTTTGGCACAGTGACTTTCCTTGGTCAGCTCTAAGTTCCAACCTCCATGTGACACCCCCTGCCTTAGCCAACCCTAACAGCCCCCTCTCCCTTCAGGATCAGTGCCAAGGCCCAAGGGAGCGGCTCCTGGGCCTGCCCTTCCCTGGCTCATAAAGCCAGCTGCACCCGCACGCCCCCCCCCCTCACAGGAGGGAAAGCTGCCTGGAACGCCCAGTTCTTCCCAGGGAGATAAATGTCAGTCTTGGCAGGAGGAAATAATGCGGATGAGAATGGTTCTTGGACTTTGGGTGAACTCCACAGCTATCATCCAAAGCAAGCAGAGAAAGCCTCAGTGAGTGGGCTGTACTGGGACCAGCACCTAGATCTCTCACCTGGGCTTTGCCAATACTCCCCGCAAAAGCAACAACAACAACCCAGGTCATTTGGATTCAGGCTAGGTTGATTGGAACAGGATTCGTTTCAGTTTAATAACTGGTTTAATTACACGTAACTGATAAATTGAGGCACTGAGATGCTGGCAGTAAAAAGTTCAACGTCTAAAACGCAGGCTGCGTGAGTTCTGCAATAGCCACCCCCACCCCTCCACCAGTGCCGAATTTAAGTATAAGCTAAACAATCTATAGCCAAGGGTCCTATTCTCTTGGGTGCCTCCAAAAAATTTAAAGGAAAAAAAGCAAAACCTGGATGTACATTTCCAAAATTCTTAATTGCATTTCAGTTCAACAATTACCGTATTTTTTGCTCTATAAGACTCACTTTTTCCCTCCTAAAAAGTAAGGGGAAATGTGTGTGCATCTTATGGAGCGAATGCAGGCTGCGCAGCTATCCCAGAAGCCAGAAGAGCAAGAGGGGTTGCTGCTTTCACTGCGCAGCGATCCCTCTTGCTGTTCTGGCTTCTGAGATTCAGAATATATTTTTTTCTTGTTTTCCTCCTCCAAAAACTCGGTGCGTCTTGTGGTCTGTTGCATCTTATAGAGCGAAAAATACGGTACTTTGTAATTACAGAGAGGAGCTGAGGGAAGTCTTTGGGGGAGAGGAGGGAGGGTTTGAGGGGGGTGGGGAAAAAGAGGAGAAAATAATGACTATGACATGTTTTGATATGTTGTTATGTTGAAATTGCTAATAAATTTTTTTTTAATTACTTTGATAAAAGACATATTTTGTTATGTGCAAATGGCTTTGGATACCTATTAGGTCCATAAATTACCATATAGCATATATTCAACACAAAAAACAGCGACAATCAGTTGTTGACAAAGGACAGCTGGACGTATAAAGGGCCCCATTATCTTCAGTAGCTTAGGGCCACATCAGACCTAAATCTGGCCCTGCCCTCCACCAACAGACTGACATAGGGCCGGGTCCCCCATGGGGCGTCAGCAGCTGAAAATGGTTGTGAGTCTTAGCCCACTGAAGCACAAATCTACAAGGCGCCTCCTCACCTTCCCAGCTTAATGGCCATGGGGCCCGCGAGGAGGGCTCCCACGAGACCCCCCAAAGGATAGATGGAGACCACAGAGGACCAGATCAGGGTGATCACCTTCCCCTCCAGAGGGCTGCCTGTCCGCTCCAGCCACGTCTCATTTGTGAAGCTCTGGATGTACTGAAATGTGCAAAGGCTGAAGTCACGTCGGGAGAAAACAGAAAAAGGTCTTTCCACAGGTGCTGCATGCGACATATCATTTTTCCAGGACCTAATGTGGTGAGTATTGGATGGGGAGGAGAGACCTCCAGGTTCAAACCCCACCCACTGTCACCTTGCACCAGTCGCTCTCGCTGAGCCTGGTCTACCTCGCAGAGCTGTCGTTGTGGCAAAATCAGGGTGGGGAGCCACATATGCTGCCCTGAGTTCTTTGGAGGAAAGTGAGGATGCAGACATGGCCAACACGCTGCAAAATACTTGGGAGGGGAGGTGTACAAAAAGCACAAGAGGAAAGGAGCCTTCACGAAAAATTACATTTGCCCCTAAGGAAAGAAATACGATATACGATATACAATATCTTTATTGTCATTGTCCCATGCAGAACAATGAAACTGAAAAACTACATGAAACTACATAAAACTTACATAAAACTACCACAAAACTACATAAAAACTACATAAAACATTCAAAACCCCCTAAAAACTCTAAAACCCCATTTTAAAATACACTATACTATAGAGACCCCTTATGCTGCGTTTAGAACCAGAATTGCATTTGCGTAGAAACTGTTTCTCAGGCAGCTAGTCCTGGCCTTTATAACCCTATACCTTCTTCCAGAAGGCAGAAGCTGAAAGAGATCTCTGCCGCTTTCTTATGGCACCTGGCAGCATAGATTTGATCTAAGGTGGGAAGAGTGCACCAATTATTCTCTCTGCAGTCTTTACAACCCTGGATAGCATTGTTTTTTCCCTGGCCGTGCAGCTCCCAAACCTCTCTCTGTCTGGCTTCTCTCCTGCGTTGACAGCACCAAAAGAAAAAATTGCTGAGAGAGGGGGCCAGCCCCACTTGCTGCCTCAGTCTGTGAACCCATGGCAAGTTAACAGGATCACAGGGAAAGTACAGTGGTACCTTGGTTCTCAAACGCCTTGGTTCTCAAACGTCGAAAACCCAGAAGTAAGTGTTCCGGTTTTCAAACCTTTTTTCAGAAGCTGAATGTTCAATGCGGCTGTCGGCTATTGTTTCCGGGGCACCTGCACCAATCAGAAGCTGTGCCTTGGTTTCCGAACATTTCGGAAGTCAAACGGACTTCCGGAACAGATTAGGTTTGGCGCTTTTGTTTTTGCTACTTTTGCTTTTGTTTTTGTGACTGTGTGGAACCCAGTTCAGCTACTGATTGATTGATTGTGTGACTGTGGAAATCCGAGCCCCCCATCCAAACAATGACTATCATCAGTGCAGGTAAGAAAAAAAATAGTTTTAATTTTTACCATCTACAATGCTGTCTTATTTATTTTATAGTACAGTACATTGATTATTGCTTTCATTTTATGGATCAATGGTCTCGTTAGAGAGTAAAATGCATGTTAAATTGCTGTTTGAGAGGTTGTTTTTAAAAGTCTGGAATGGATTAATCCATTTTGCATTGCTTTCTATGGGAAATTGCGCCTTGGTTTTGGAACGCTTTGGAACAGACTTCCGGAATGGATTAAGTTTGAGAACCAAGGTATCACTGTAAATATAACCCCAGGAAACAAAAATGCTTCATCGACAGATGTGACGACCCTAGAACCCTCTAAACAGAGATGGCCTGCTCTCTGCTAACAGTCGGGGAAACTGGGATAAGTGTCGTCAGGTGAGGACTTACTGTGGTTGGGGCATTGATGATGGTGAGGTTGTATCCATATTGGAATGAGCCCCCAATTCCAGCAGCACAGACCGTCAGGATCAAGACCCGACCTTGAAGCTGAGGGAAGACCCAGAAACGTTCAGAAAATAAGGATGTTTCCTTATTTATTTGGTTTTCAACATACAATAACATTCTGCAACATACAACACACAACTGAGGAGCACCAAATAGAACAATATAAATTTCCTAATACTGTATAGCAATAATCTACAAAACAAGACATTTCATATTAAGTGCCCACTCACTGAAAGTCACCTATGCAACACAGTGGTTCATCTTAGAACATGGTTGTGCTAAGACTCCACTGGCAACAATTACTTCCAGGGTACGGCCCAAAAGAAAAAAAAGGAAATTGATTGACAGTGAGGCAAACGCACTGAACTGAAGCAGCTTAAGATATCTGGGGTGATTGAAAGAATATAATATCAAGGGCAGATTTTCCTTTAATCCTTTATTTTTAATGAGGAATTTAAGATTGTAGGTCAAGTGGCTAATCGGGTAGGATAAGAACGTGATTATACGTTATAAAACCCTGAATGAAGTTTTTGAAATGGGTCCAATCCAACGACAGCCAAAAAGTTAAAGAGAAGGAAACATGAGAAGGAATAAAAATCATGGGCGTAGCCGTACACCCCGACTCCCCAAATCAAGTAAATAAATAAAAATACATAACGAAAAGTAGAAATTGTAGAAAGATTTTGACAGATTTTTCTGAGCACTTGGGGTCAAAAGAAAGTAACTTTAAACAATTGTTGCTGAGAGATTTCATTCCGAATCTGCTAGACAGAGCCAAGCATAGGATGGGTGGGTATCCTGCCCCCTCCCCAACAATGGAAGGCACATCAATGGCTTTTGAAGAACAAATATGACTGTCTTTGGGATACTGTGTCATAGAATCACAGAACTGTAGATTTGAGAAAGGAATGTAAGCTCTTTTTATATGCAATAACAGCAGCGAGAATATTATTGTCCCAAAAAAGGAAGCAAGAAGAGTTACCGTCGATCGAAGAATGGAGGATGAAGTTAATGGACTACGCAGAATTAGATAAACTAACAGGAAGGATTTGAAACTGGCGAGACCAGAAATTCACAGAAGACTGGAGTAAATTTACGGACTATTTGAAAAGTAATTGTGAAGAACAGACGACGTTTGTAGGGTTGCAAGAAGTTTTGTGAGGAGTATTATTGGAAGTATTGTAAAAATGGAGAAGGGGAGGATGATTTGTTAAGAGATGGAAAAGCAATATAAAGTTAAGAAATGCATAAAGGTAAAGGTACCCCTGCCCGTACGGGCCAGTTGTGTCCGACTCTAGGGTTGCGTGCTCATCTCGCTCTAGAGGCCGTGAGCCGGCGCCGTCCGCAGACACTTCCGGGTCATGTGGCCAGCGTGACGAAGCTGCTCTGGCGAGCCTGCACCAGCGCAGTGCACGGAAACGCTGTTAGCTTCCCGCTATAAAACGGTCCCTATTTATCTACTTGCACTTAGGGGTGCTTTTGAACTGCTAGGTGGGCAGGAGCTGGGACCGAACGACAGGAGCTCACCCCGTCGCAGGGATTCGAACCGCTGACCATACGATCAGCAAGTCCTAGGCACTGAGGTTTTACCCACAGCGCCACCCGTGTCCCTAGAATTGAAATGCATAAGAAGTGGTTAAAACGGTGGATCATCAGAGGTGCTGATGGAAGTCCAAAAATAAGTTTTGTGGTACATTTTATAATTTATATGTTAAAATTTATATATATATATATATATATATATATATATATATATATATATATGCAGGTTTTGGTGTCCTCGGGTGTCTTCCCGTGTAAAAGTTGGGGTGTCTAGGCGACGTTTCGACGAGGTCTCACTTGTCATCTTCAGGCTGGTGCTTTCGGCTTCTTGTTACTGGAACAGAGCAGGATCTCAGTGTTTGAGTTCCTATAAATACTGTTGAGGGGGTGTGGTGTATAGCCTCCAATGTTCTGGGCAGAGAGGAAGTTCCCAGGCTAGTGTGCCTATTCTTCTTTTGTTCCTTAATTACTTGAGGGATATCTTGAGTGATTTCTTGAGTGATATTCTGAGTACCACTTAGGTGGGTCATTAGGTGTGGATTAGTTGCTCAAGCCTTCGTGTCTTGACCTCTTGAACTTTGTGAAAAGTTTTTCTGAGAAGATGGCTGTACTGCACTTAGTTGTGCTCTGGCTTGGCTTCGGGTATAGGGGCGAGCTGTGGTTTTGTGCCCTGTGCCAGTCAGATCTGTGTAGGGATTGCATATATATATGAATGAAGAACTGTAGATTTGGAATGGACCCAAAGGGCCTTCTAGCCACAGATATTGTGGAGTAGGAAAAGGTTGACCAGAATGATTGAGGTGTTGGAGCAACTCCCCTATGAAAAGGGTTGTAGCGTTTGTGGCTTTTCAGTTCAGAGAAAAGTAAGAGGCGACATGATAGGAATTTAAAATTATGCCTGACTTGGAGAAAGCGGATAGAGAAAAGTCTTTCTCCTACTGCGGCCCGTGTTTCGTTAGCCCCAAACCGGAAAACAAACGAGGTCCCAACCAAAGAATAATGGCAACTTAAGCTGATGGAATATCCGCAGCTTGCAGACTTAACATATCGAATAAGAGAACAAGAAGAACATACGTTTGGAGGAGACTGGAAAATGTTTATTGAATATATGGGGGAAAATAGTGTATACTTGAAAACGCTGGCAGCATTAAGATAAATTCAACAGTGTAAATAAGTTTTGATGGATGTAATAATGGAATACTGAATGGTTTACTTTATGTAAAATATGCAGGGATTCATCATATGCAAAATGAACCATGGAAAGAGAAGAAGAGAAGTCACTGATATTTTAAGGATGTTTAAATGAGTATTCTAAATCGTAGTACAGAAAATCTAATAAAAATTAGAGAGAGCGAGAGAGGTCTTTCTCCTTCTCTTGGAGAAAGAACTCAGAAACATTCAACGAAGCTCAATGTTGGATGTTTCAGGAAAAAGAAAAGAAAGTCCTTTTTCGTGCAGTGCATAGACTGTGGAACTTGCTCCCGAAGGATGCAGTGACTGCCACAAACCCTACATGGCTTTAAGAATATTATTGGCCCAAAAATGGAAGCAAAAAGAGTTACCGACGATTGAAGAATGGAGGATGAAGTTAATGGACTATGTAGAATAAGATAAACTAACTGGAAGGATTTGAAACCGGCAAGACCAGAAATTCACAGAAGACTGGAGTAAATTTACGGACTATTTGAAAAGTAATTGTGAAGAACAGATGACGTTTGTAGGGTTGCAAGAAGTTTTGTGAGGTGGCAGAATCCGAGACCAGGGGAGAGAGATGGCGGAAGAAGATTGGAGGAAATTTAAAATTTATCTTAAGAAATATTGTAAAATTAATGAGTGTTAAAATGTTGCGGTTATAGAAAATAGGGGATTACAGATGCAAAAGATTAAGTAAAAGAAAAGAATAAGGAAAAATTAGATTAAATTAAGGGGAGGATTTGCTGAAATAATTTGAGAATTGGGATGCAGAAAGGGGAGGTATGGGGAAGTCAGTGAAGTAAGGTTTAAGGAAAAAAAGGATTCGAAATTATGCATGTTTGTTTGTTTCTGTATGTGTATGTTTGTATTGTGTATTTTGTGTGTTTTTATAATTTGTGAAAATCCAATAAATATTTATTTAAAAAAAAGAAGTTTTGTGAGGAGTATTATTAGAAGTATTGTAAAAATGGAAAAGGGGGGGATGATTTGTTAAGAGATGTAAAGGCAATATAAAGTTAAGAAATGCATAAGAAGTGGTTAAAATGGTGGACCATCAGAGGTGCTGATGGAAGTCTAAAAAGATTGTATAAGTGATAAGTTTTGCGGTACATTTTATAATTTATATGTTAAAATTAATAAAAAATATTATATAAAAAAACCTTACATGGCTTTAAAAGAGAATCAGGCAAATTTGTGAGAGGGCTAGCGATGGCTACTAGTCATAATAGCTTAGCTCTGCCTTCATGGTCAGAGCAGTAAATGCTTGCTGGGAGTCACAGATGGGCAGAGTTGAGCTCAAGTCCTGCTTGTAACTGGGACGCGGGTGGCACTGTGGGTTAAACCACAGAGCCTAGGACTTGCCAATCAGAAGGTCGGCGGTTCGAATCCCCGCGATGGGGTGAGCTCCCATTGCTCGGTCCCTGCTCCTGCCAACCTAGCAATTCGAAAGCACATCAAACTGCAAGTAGATAAATAGGTACTGCTCTGGCAGGAAGGTAAATGGCGTTTCCGTGTGCTGCTCTCGTTCGCCAGAAGCGGCTTAGTCATGCTGGCCACGTGACCCGGAACTGTACGTCGGCTCCCTCGGCCAATAAAGCGAGATGATCGCCGCAACCTCAGAGTCGGACACGACTGGACCTAATGGTCAGGGGTCCTTTACCTTTTACCTGCTTGTAACAGGCTTCCTACAGGAATCTGGATGTCCTTGCCCCCTAAGAACAGCATGCTGGACTAGATGAGTACCCACTGGCCTGATCCAGCAGGCTGTTATTTTCTTACACTTTTTTAAAAAAGTGTTTTCTTTCATCCCAAGATTATGTACTTTAAATCTACAATACGGTACAAATTTTGAGTGAAATGGGATGAAAGTTGGGCGGGCAATCTTTAATTTGGGACCATTGCAATTCCTCAGCGTAAACGTAAGATAAAATCGTTCTAAACTGCTTTTACCAGTGGCACATGAGACATCACAGAGACTGAATAAAATATATACCAGTAAATGTTGGGAGTTGTGGGTAATAATAATAAAATTTTATTTATACCCCGCCCTTCCCAGTTTAAAAATGAAATGCATACGCCCATTAAATTAAAGATTTTGGGAAAAGAGATTAACAATTTCATTGGTAACTCTTTAAAAAGAGTTTTATTATCATTATTTTATTTATCCTTTTCAGGTTTATACATTTCAATAATTTTACAATCATCTTAACATTTCAAAACTTGACTTCCTTCCCCCTCTTTCTTCGGTTCCTTAAATTTATTTTTAATATCTTCTGCATATCCAAATTAACTTAATTTGCTCATTTATTCATCTACTTTTAATATATACTCTTACAAAACTGCAGGTTATTACAATACTCATGCCAATACTCTCTTAAAGAATTTTACTGGAACATTTGGAGGAACAAATCAAGAATAAGGAATTGATACAGTTTTTAATAGTTACTGCCAATATGTTAATTGGCACAAAAATGGAGAAAATAAGGTGCCAGTAATTAAAAAAGAGTGCTGAGCAAAAATTTGGAAGTTAAGTCTTGATGCAGAAGCTTCCTGGAGTGATTAGTTTAAGAGATGGCAGAGATAGAAGGGAAAATTTAGACATTAATTTAATTTAGAAAATAGCAGATACAACAATATTGGTGGATAACAGCTTTTCTGAGTGGCAGATAAAAATGTTTAATCTTTATAGTCTTCTGCGATTTATGATATTCTGCAATGATATTTGTTTACAGATTCCTGCATTTGGGCATGTTTCCAAATTTAATTTTTGGAGCGGCTGGTAGCTCCAGCCAGCCCAGCTGGGCAGGGCAGAAAGCATGGAAGGGACACCCCGCGCCGCCGGCCCCCACGCTTGTCCCCGGAGCTAGAGACGGCAGGCATGCCGGTTAGAGACGGAGGGGCTCCGGGTCGGAAGTCTCCGCCTCACCTGTCGCTGCCACTCGGCCGGGCACGCTGCGCCGGACCCTCCGGCGGCCTCCCGGGCCGTGCGCCTGGCGGGGCCACCCAGCGAGGCAAGGGGTCCTGGGCTGCCGGTCTGGGCAGGAGGCGAGATGGCCGGGAGGGAGGACCCTTGCAAATATCCGATCGCCCGGGGGTTGCTAACTGTCGCCTCCCCCGCACCCCCCGCAGAGGAGCCCCGGAAGCGTGACGCAGCGGTCCTGGCCAGGTGTGCGAGCGGGGCGGGCGGGGCGGGGCCTCACCTGGCGGCGCGGCGGCTGCAGAGGCTGCGGGGCTCCGTCCGGCATCCTGCTCGGCCCGGCTCGGCTTCCCTCCTCGGCTCTCCTGGCTCTCCTGCTAGCCGGCTCTCCGGCCGGCTAGCAGGAGGGTGGGCGGGGACTTCGAGCTGGGCAGGGCTTCTTGGCTGGAGCTGAGCCCGGAGGCTCATCGCGCAACGGGCGACTCTGAGCATGTGCAGAGTGCCTCTGGGAGAGAGGCCAGCGGGGCTAGCCTAGTGGGTGCCAGGATCCCCTTGAGGGAGACGGTATGGCAGGGGTGGGGGAGGGGGATGGCCTCTGGCCTGGTCCCACCCACTACAGCATCCTTTGGGTGCTTTTTTTGGCTGGAGGCGACCGGGAGGGTCGTGGAGCCGCGTGGGGAGGGCCGGGTCGGCCACCCGGTCCTTCTGCGGACCGAGGATCGTTCTCCTGGTGCCTTTTCCTGAAGCCAGGCCAGGCCAGCCCCCGAAGTGCGACAGCTCCCATTTGGCAGCTCTGGCTTTTTTTGGGGGGGGGTGTCCTAAATAGAACAGCCGAAGCTCAGTTACATAGCATTTGCTCTGCATGCAGAAGGTCCCCGCAGGCAGCATCTCCCGTGGAGAGCTAGTGCTGCTGCCGGCCAGTGTAGACAATACTAGATACTAGATAGAGCAGCAAGACAATTGCATTTTGCTTGCTGCACAGATCTCTGGTTTTTGCGGGGGAGGGGGGAAGACTGCCAAACTACCTCGACTACAGTACTGTGACACTTGACAGCTGGATAGCTCAGTGGGTACAGCATGAGGCTCTTCATCTCAAGAGTCGTGGCTTCGAGTCCCAGTTGGGCAAAAGTTTCCTGCATTGCAAGGGGTTGAACTGGATGACCTTTGTGGCCCGTTCCAGCTCTACAATTCTGATATTCTATGTAGAGACATCACCTTGTCAGCAAAGGTCCGTATAGTAAAAGCTATGGTTTTCCCAGTAGTGATGTGCGGAAGTGATGTGCAAGCTGGTAACAACATACCCCCAGATCTCCAGATGACCTCTCACAGTGGCTTTCTATTAGGGATCATGACGGGCAGTGCCAGATTACCAAACAGACAGTCGGAAGCAGCCTATGGGCCCCATGCCTTTTAGGGGCCAGATAACAACAAATCAAAATAATATTGATTTGATCTTGAAAGAAAATTACAAAAAAAAGTATTCGGAGATAATTTGCGATATTTCAACTGCCTATCAAAAAAACTAAGATCATGGCCACTGGGCCCATCACTTCCTGGCAAATAGAAGGGGAAGAAATGGAGGCAGTGAGAGATTTTACTTTCTTGGGCTCCATGATCACTGCAGATGGTGACAGCAGCCACGAAATTAAAAGATGCCTGCTTCTTGGGAGGAAAGCAATGACAAACCTAGACAGCATCTTAAAAAGCAGAGGCATCACCCTGCCAACAAAGGTCCGTATAGTAAAAGCTATGGTTTTCCCAGTAGTGATGTATGGAAGTGAGAGCTGGACCATAAAGAAGGCTGATCGCCGAAGAATGGATGCTTTTGAATTATGGTGCTGGAGGAGAGTCTTGAGAGTCCCATGGTCTGCAAGAAGATCAAACCTATCCATTCTGAAGGAAATCAGCCCTGAGTGCTCACTGGAAGGACAGTTCCTGAAGCTGAGGCTCCAATACTTTGGCCACCTCATGAGAAGAGAAGACTCCCTGGAAAAGACCCTGATGTTGGGAAAAATGGAGGGCACAAGGAGAAGGGGACGACAGAGGGCGAGATGGTGGGACAGTGTTCTCGAAGCTACCAGCATGAGTTTGACCAAACTGCGGGAGGCAGTGGAAGACAGGAGTGCCTGGCGTGCTCTGGTCCAGGGGGTCACGAAGAGTTGGACACGACTAAACAACAACAACAACAACAACAAATGCTACTGAGCACCTCCAAGCGGGAGCACACTTCTTCCCCGCTCGGCCTCCTGCAGGCAACCGACTCAGGCCCTCCCTGACTCCAAGCGGCTCCGGGGCATCCTCATATCTGACGTTTGGATCGCCCCGAGTTCCTGGACCCAGAACCCCCCCCCGAACCTCTCGTCAGCCAACCAACCCATTTCCTTTCCGCGTCGCGAAGCCTCCTTCCCTCCCCCCCCCGCAATCTTATCTCTTGTTGGATTCCCCCTGCAGGAATTGCTGGAAGAAATCAGTGGATCGCGAAAGCGGTACCATCTTCTGCAGCTCCTTCATCCTGCTGGAAGTCCAGCCGGCCGAGGAGGAAGAGGTGACTGGGGCTGGGAGAGGGAAAGTCCTGCAGGGTCGGCCTGGGCTTTTGGGGGCAGGAATGCAGCTATTTAGTCACCCATTACCCCGGGAGGCGAAGAAGCGGCTCATTTACAATGCTTGCTCCGTAGTTCTCTGTTTATCCCTTCTCATTTGGGGACTGATCATTGCACACCAAGAACCTCCCAGTCACTATGACTTCTCGCGCTCCTGTTGACCTTCGCACCTTTCGAGGCTGTGAATTTTTACACGCCTGCTTCCTGAGCTGTCTGTTGCACACCATTAAACGCGTAAAAGACAGGTCTGATCCACTCTGGCCAGGAGGAGGAGCAGAGACTGCCAGCGTCTGTGTGAGGACAGCCTGCAGGACACCCTCCGAAGCAGATGGGCTGGGCTTGAGTCTTGGAGAATGAGCATCTCTCTCATCATAAAGATCACTCACACACACACACACACACACACACACACACACACACTCCTGGGCTGGGTGAGCCAGGAATGATTTCCCACCACTGGGGCATGAGCCATCAAACTGTCACGTGCCGTTCCTGGGACTCTGTCACAAATACCTTCTCTCTGGGGCATAGCTATCAACATTTCCCTTTTTTAAGGGAAATTCCCTTATTCCAAATAGGATTCCTCGCAAGAAAAGGGAAAAGTTGACAGCTATGCGGGAGATCCGAGCGGTCCTATATCCCATTTCATGGACGTGCAAAAAGATCCTGGAACTGGCCTGTCGATGGTTAATGCTAGCCACAGGGGTCTCTGCTCTGTCTTCATATTCAGAAGCCTCAATGCTTGTGAATATCAGTTGCTGGAAACTGCAGCAGGGGAGAGGGTTCAAATCCTGCTTGTGGGTTTCCCATTGGAGCAGGGGTGCCAACTTGAATAAAATATTGGCGGCGGGGGGGCAGGTAAGCCCCGCCCCACATAATCAATCGCATGATGTGGTGCATGCACACTATCTGAATGGCAATGCCCATCAACTTTGGGGGAGGGCAGCCCCCTCAAATATTTTATGGGGAGAAGGCACTGAAGCCCCAAAGGCCCCTAGGAGTTGGCTCCTGTGTATTAGGGCATCTGGTTGGCCACCAGGAGAGCAGAATGCTGGATGCCTGATCCACCAGGGCTGTTTTGATGTTATTATAGTAAAGGACCCCCTATGGGACGCGGGTGGCACTGTGGGTTAAACCACAGAGCCTAGGACTTGCTGATCAGAAGGTCTGCGGTTTGAATCCCCGCGACGGGGTGAGTTCCCGTTGCTCAGTCCCTGCTCCTACCAACCTAGCAGTTCGAAAGCACCTCACAGTGCAAGTAGATAAATAGGTACCACTTTGGCAGGAAGGTAAACAGCGTTTCCGTGCGCTGCTCTGGTTCGCCAGAAGCAGCTTAGTCATGCTGGCCACATGACCCAGAAGCTGTACGCCGGCTCCCTCAGCCAGATGAGCGCCACAACCCCAGAGTCTGTCACGATTGTCCAGTCAAAGGCGACTATGTGGTTATTATGACTGTCCCGCCGGCCTAACCTGTTTCTCGTTTCCTTTTGGGGACCCAATCCTCCGCAGCCCTGGGCACGTGTGCCCTTCCAGCCAGTCTCAGGGCAGATCCACGGTGTACATCACAAGACTTTCCCTAAAGAATCCCGGGAACTGAAGTTTGTTCAGCGGTAGGGTTGGAACTATAGTTCTGTGAGCAGCAAACTACAGTTCCCAGTATTTTTTGGGGGGGGGTTGTCGCTTTGGATGTGCTTGAGATGCAAGGTACGGACCTGCCTTCAGGCTTTGGCTGCTCTCGGGAGCCACCTGGTGCTGGGCTGGAAGAAAGGAGCAGAAAAAGTGTTCTCTCCACTCTTGAGATCGCAAAGCACAGCACTTGTTCTTCTCTCTATTTAAATCTCCCTTTGTGTAGAGATTTTCAAAAGGGAAACATGACAAATCTGAAGAATCATGAATTGTGCAGGCTGTATATGTTAGCCAGATTTAATGTTTCCCTCAATGATAGTAAGAGGAAGGTATTTAGCTCTCCCAGAAGCAGAGCGTCTCTGCAAATGTAGTAAACAGGAACCTGATACTTTGGAGTATATTTTCTTTTCTTGCGATTTTGGCATTTATGCCAGAAGACAATTACCGTATTTTTCGCCCTATAGGACGCACTTTTTCCCCTCCAAAAATGAAGGGGAAATGTGTGTGCGTCCTATGGGGCGAATGCAGGCTTTCGCTGAAGCCTGGAGAGCGAGAGGGGTCGGTGTGCACCGACCCCTCTCGCTCTCCAGGCTTCAGGAAGCTCTGTGCAACCCTCGGGAGACCGGCTCCGAGGGTTGCGCAGAGCTGCCTGCAGTCCCCGGCTCAGCACAGCTCTGCGCGGCCATCCGGAGCAGGGCGCTAAGTCCCGCCCTGCTCCGGATGGCGGCGCAGAGCTGCCTGCCGTCCCGGGATCAGTGCAGCTCTGCGCGGCCACCGGGAGCCGGGGGCGAAGCCCTGCCCCGCTCCGGATGGCGGCGCAGAGCAGCCTGCAGTCCCGGGATCAGCGCACTTCTCCCCATCGCCAGCCCCACAAGCTCGGGGGACAGCAGGGAGGCAGAGCGTGCCTTCCCACTGTTCCCCGACCTGGTTCTTCCAGCCCCACACCTGGGGGGGAAATAATTTTTTTTTCTTTATTTCCCCCCCAAAAAACTAGGTGCGTCCTATGGGCTGGAGCGTCCTATGGGGCGCAAAATACGGTATTAGAGGCCTTACAACTCAACAGGCTCAATTCTATGCCACCAACAGTTCAGGACCTGCTCTCGGACAGGAATGATCAAATTCCTTTAATAGTGGCTGACTTTCTGAGTGCTGTCCATGCAGAAAGACTGGGCTATTATAAAGAGATTTAGTGGTTCTTAATTGATCGGTGATGTGGTAGTGTTATATTGTATTATTTATGCAAATTGATTTTCTCTGGACAAACCTTGCTATGCTGAGCTCGTATTTTGCACAATTTGTATATGGTTTGTTTGATAATGTGTGGTTTACTATGGCTAATAAAGGACTGACTTTTAAAAAAGAAAGAAAGAAAGGAGGACCCGGTTGCTGGGGGAAAGCCACCGGGACTGCAGAGCCGCCTCCCTCTTCTGATACTGCTTAGTGCCTCTGGCAGGCAGGATGCGCTCTCCTCCCACATCAACTCTGGGGCGCCTACCTGGGCTTTACATAGGCCGCCCAGGCAGCCCATCCCTGGGGGAGGTTGTGCCTCTGCCTGATGCTGCTGGATGAGGGTGAGCAGACCAGCATCCTGGCCGGCGGCTGCCCTTCTGGCCTTCCCCAGCAGCAAATAATCCGAGGTTGCGGACATGGCACACGTTGAAAGCCCACCAGCCGGCCCCTTCTAGCCCCTCTCTGCTCTCTTCCCTTTGAAGGAGGGCAGGATCCAGCAGATAGACGCAGTAGATGCAGGGCCACATTGCCTCCCCGTGAACCCTCTGGGGGCCATAGCCCAGTGGCAGGCGGAGTTGGATGAGAAGGGGGCAGGACTGCCTGCACACCTTACATCGGAAGCAAGCCCCACTTCTCACAAAAAAAGCTCCTGGGAACTGTGGATTACACCTCACAGAACTACAATTCCCAGCACCCTGTACAAACCATAGTTCACAGAATTCTTTTTTTAAAAAAATAATTTTTATTAGATTTTCCACAATGATAACACAAACCACAAAGCAAAATGATACACGAAAACAGAAAAAGAAAAAGAAAAAAAGGAACAATAAACAGATAAACAATAACAACTTAATTCTTCAAAGCCAACCTTTTAAACATCTTGGTTGACTTCTTCAAATCCCTCCCTTCTGAGTTTCCTTGTAATTAAAAGTCACAGCTTTCCAATATCATAAATAAACTAAAACAATTATAGTCCATCTTATTCACTTTTCTTAACATTCTAAATCCCATTTATTTAATTATAACTTAGTTTAATCCTAGGCCTATTTGTTTCTTTCAAGTAATTTCTAATTCTTTATATTACAATATTTATTCAAACAGTCCTTAAATTTCCTCCAGTCCTCTTGCAATTCCTTTCTGGTCGCGGATTCTTCCAGTCAGGTTCTTCCAGTCCAGAATTCTTTGGTACCTAAGCCACGTGCTTTGCATGTCTAGGGTGCGCGCGCAGCATCCGATTCCTCCAGCGAAATTCCGAGAGTTTCTCCATCTAGCAGTTAGGCTCGGAAATCTCCTATCCGTTCCATGAAACGCCTCTAACACTTCATGTCTCCGTGGCCCCACAGAGAGGCAGCCATAGCAACGGATGGGTCCTGCAAATAGACGCCTCCTTGCTGATTGGTCGACCGTCCGCCGGCCAAGGCCACGTGGCTTTTTCTTTCTCCGACACAACAACACAGCTCGCGCCATGCCATTGGCTTCCAAACCCATCACTCCTTACTTGCCCTGCCCCGCTCCATAGAGAGTGGCATCCCTCCAGCCCTTGGTGCGCCTGTGAGTGCTCCTGAGTGGCTGCGCTCTCTTTCGGCCACGCCCCTGCGCCCTCTCCCCGCCCTATAAGCGGCTTGACAAGCGAAGGGGCTTGGCCGCTCCGGGAGCCCCGACCTTAAAGGGCGCGCAGCCCTTTCTGCTCTTGCCTCTGGTCTCCTCGATCTCCCGCCATGGCCTACCAAGGATTCGCCGCGGAGTACCTGGGCATCCCCGCCGTGACGCGCGCCTACACCACCGCCTGCGTCATCACCACCGCTGCCGTGGTAATCGCTGGGGAGGGGGAGAGAAAGGGAGGCAGGCGGAGATCCAACAGGGAGAGCCGCCACAGCCCGCCCGGTGCGATGCCCGCCTGCCTTACATGGAGCGCATTTTCTTTCCGGCCCGAGGGTGGCTCTGGGGCAGCGGCGGCGGCAGCAGCCCCATCGCCCTTGCCTCGGGCCTGGGGTGGCGGTTTCCGTTCCCTCTCTTGCCAGCAGCCCTTGGGCTCTGCTGCCCGAGTGGGGATTGCACGAGGACGGCATTGCACGCCTCTCCTCTTCCTGGGAACCAGCTGGGATGAAGGGCGGACGAGGCAGGGCTACCTGGAAAGCCCATCAGAGCCAGGCAGGCGCTGCCTTTGCTGTGCGCCCAGGATCCCTGCTCAGCCCATTGCCTGCCTTTTTGTATTTTGCAGCAACTGGAGTTCATCACGCCTTTCCAGCTGTATTTCAATCCGGATCTCATTTTCAGGAAGTTCCAGGTGAGGCCTGGCCCTGCCCCC